TTCTAAAACACGAGTCTTTAAGTAGGTCTCAGCAAAGGTGGGAGGTTTGACTGAATCACAGAATAGCTGTGCATGCTTATCTTAATCAAGGTTGATTAAAATGTGGGCACAGTGAGCCCGCCTTGGCTGCTGGACACAGATGTTGGAGACCAGTAGGAGTGGAATGCTGCCTTTTCTGCTGGATTTGAACTATGCAGTTTAACTTGAGTCACGCCTCTCAGCAGGGGTGTGCATGAGCACATCATGAATACAAGCTTATAGCTTCTACATATCCTGCTTTTGACAAGGCAAGAATGTCACCCTACTGAATTAACTGATTGCAAAGTGACGGATGATGAGAAGTACCACTGAAGTACCTGTGGTGCCTTAAACTGGTATTTCCAGTGGATGAGCAGGTAAGGCTGCAGAAAGGAGAGTCTTGATATTCTACGTCCCACACTGTGTTTCCAGGTAGCTTTGGAAGAGAACTTGTTGATCAAGTGGCATGTTTCATGAAGTAAGAGAGCATAGAAGTGATCAGAGATGTGGCTGCAGTAGGTATGAAGGAGCAACTAAGATGGCTATCTATCACTGTTACAGCAGAGCTGCTGTGCTCCTTTTCAGCTGTTTGCAGCATTATCAAAGAGCTACTGCACATTATGCAGTGCTCCAGCAATGACCTGGAGGGGTTATTAGCAGAAGGAACTGAACTTCAGGGACTCATATTTCTGGGCTGGTAGCTTCAGGGGAACGCAGAAGCTTTTGGGCTACCCTCTGGAGTGATGGATGCTGAATGCTCTTCAGTACTTTCCGCTTTCTGAGCCACGCTTCGCATTCCTGCTCAAATACATAAAATGACTGCCTGTGATTGCTGACAGTAGCTGCGTAGGGACATCTGTGCCTACTATGTTACCCCAAATGGTAAGTTTGTTGAAAGATGATGCTGTTTGTATAGTAGGGAGTTACTGAGGCAGGGAAGCAAAGAAAGAACTGTCTGAAAGCAATTCTTTCTTGATACTTGTCCATTTTCAGGGTAACACATAAAGAACTAATCATGCAAGTCCAAACTCAAGGGAAATAAGCCTTTGTTTCTTCATCTGGTGCCCTGAAGCTCAGCCAATAATACATACAGTCAGTATCCCTGAGGTGATAAGGTGCACTGCTGATTTACAGGCAATGCACATTGGATAACTGGAGACTCCACACTGTGAAATGATTATAAACCAGTAATTAGCTGGTGAGAGAGGCATAATTTGCTTCAGAATTTTGAAGCCAAATAAAATCAGCTTATGAAAAATAAAGCACTGTTAATTCAATCCCTGGTGCTCTTAGAAACTCATAAAACCTGACTGCAGTAGTAGGAAAGGTCTTCCAACAGCGGGGGAAAAAAAAAAACAACAAAGAAACCTGAATGCATTTAAAAATCTGTTCAACTAAACAGTAGAATTGGGTCCTGGAAATTTTCTTTAAAGATGGAATCAAGCACTATTGCCCTTCAGCTTGGAGAGCTCTCACTTATTTAGATACAGCTTAACCTTTGGATGGTAAAAATGAGTGTGCTGGAACTAAACACTGCCTGGCACAAGCAAGCAGCTCATCAGAAGATGTTTTTTGATGCACCATTGCCTTGGAAAAATACTTCCTGCAGGTGTTCTGGAGTCACCTGGAGTTTGTCAGGAGATGCCTGATTTAATTTTCAATCCCTGCTGTGGTCATACAGAAATCAAACAGAAAGTCCCTCACAAACAATTAGCTTCTGCAGGTATTAAGTGGCACAAGATAGCCTTATCTGACGTGTTTGGGGCGTTTTGGCCAAATCATGATCTCTGGATCTTTTTTGTGGAAGGAAGATGCAGGCAAGGAGAGCTGATTCCTGTGCTACTAGAGCTACCAGCTGTAGACACCAGCCACTGCTTTAAGTGTTCTCTGAAGGACTTCCACATTTGGAAAAACAACAACCATCATTACAAGATTTTATAATGCTAGCCACAACTATTTGAAGGGGGCTCATTCTCAAAAGCTGCTATTCAGTGCACAGACTCACAGTACAAAAAAAGAAAAAAAAAAAAAAAAAAAAAGGAAAAGAGGAAAAGAAAATAATTTTAAGAAAATTCTGCCTTAAAAATCACCTCTATGCAAAACTAAAGCGTATCACTGACAACTCCCATTTTCAGAGGTCACAGAAGCCTTCAGAACATCAGCTACCTGAGGTCCCTCTAGAAACTCAGTGAATTACATGCTTACTGACTCCCCAGCAGCAATTCACAAAAGCAGTATTTACAAAGAAATTTACCTACACTGGCACAAGGTCTTGGTTTTCTGCCTTTATCTGACTTCCTGAGGAAATGACAATTTGTGTACATCTCATCTGATAATTTCTAAACCTGCTAGCTATTTCTAACCAAACAGAAGGAGTCAGTGAGAACTAAAATCCTTGTTGGTTAAATAGCTGAATCGAAGCCTTTGGCAAGCCTCTGCAAGGCAAAGGCTGCTTAGTGAGCATAGCTTTTACTAGACACAAGAAAACCTGTGCAGAAGAAAGACCAAATACCCAAACCACAAGAAAAACTTCAAACTGAGCTTGGAATGACTCAGCCTTTGTTACAAACACAGAGGTCACAAGGTTTCTTTAGGCTGAGGCTCATTAAGCTGTTTTTGTGAGCTGAAAATATAGTTTCATCCACTTCCTTACCTCAGACACAGAGATTGCTGTTTTTCTTTCAGCCATTTTATAAAGCATAATTAATCTACATTTTAAAGACCTCGATGAGTTGTCTCTCATCATGGAACAGTAAGTGAGATTGATACCCAATTACTGAGCATTCAAGCTCACAGACCATTTCCATACAAAATAACTATGTTCTTTTTTTTTAATTTGTAAAATGCCACTTTTACTTTATTTAGATGTTAATGCTTATTTCTTATGTAATAAAAGGGAAAAGAGATAAAGCACAAATCAGTGGTTATTAACCTTGCTAATAAGACAGGCTTTTTGAGAGAGGATGGATATATCTTAATTGGTAAAACAGATGCATTGTCATTTAGCCAAGTAATCCTTTCCAAACAAGAGAAGCAGTAGCAATTTTATTTTAAGTGGGTGGAAATAAACTTGTCACATTCTGCACATCAATTTACACATTCTTACTTTACCATTTCAGTCAGTAAGAATACAGCCCTTTGATTCTCAAAAGAAAGCAATCTACAAATTAACACTCAAATAGGTGAGAATATTGCTATATAACGTAATTGATCTTAATTTGCAATGTGAAGTACTGAACTCAGTCTGCACATTCATGTAATTAATATAAAATAATGAATTCCCATGAAAAATGCTTTGCATCTTTAACATGAGTATAAGAAAGCACATAGAAAGATGCCTCAGAAAAGTGTCTTCTACAGTTTGTAAAAATATAGCCTCAAGGCTGATGATTGCACAAGTGCTGCTGTACATGCCATTGATTATGAATGCCAACTTTCACACTGTTGCTATTGAATCCTGCTATCCAAACCTTAAAAAAAACCCAACCCTATAAAGCATATCAGTGTTTACTAACAGTTAGTAGTCTTTTAGAGCCAACTATACACATACATGCATAGAAATGTACTCCAAAATTTAAGCACTGGTTTAATCCATTATAGATAATATTGATAAAAAACAACTGTCAAAAAAAAATCCAGTGTACTAAGTTTACACCAAAAGTACAACTTCCATTACTTCACTCCTCACATGAATCTTTTTTCTTTCCATCCATTTTTTGTAACCCCTCAGAACTTTCCATAAAACACTGAAGCTGTAGAACTGTGAATAACTATTAATTGCAAGTTAGAATTCTTATAATTTATATCTCATCTCTGAAAGTGCTGTGTAGTCAGCCAGGAGAACACTTAAGTAGCTGCCAGTCTGAAAATCTAAGGCTTCTAGTAGTCTAGCCAAATTCCATGTTTTTAGACATACCTGGGTTTCCTCTGATTATTACCTTCAATGGGGAAGAGTCAGCCTTATATTATGAGCCATCTTGGAAGGAAGCATGGACTGTGAGGTCTGTGCACTACTGGCTGTGAAAACAGTCCCTTAGAACTTCAGGAACAATTTAAAGCAATGTAACAGCTTTTTCTCACTTTCTACGTACACTGAACCCTGGCCCATAAAAGCACTAACACATAGAAAGGAGAATCACTTACATAAAATGGAATTTCATTTCTTTGAAGGGCTGGCATCCAACAGTGGAGAACAGAGAAGCTTGACTAATTTCCACTGGGATGACAATGAAACTCAGTGGAGAGACTACTGTATTTAAAAAAAAAAAAAAAAAAAAAAAAAAGGACCAACTCTGGTTACTCTGATCATCTTTGTTTCTAAACATTTACTCTAACAGGCTTTAAAGATATACTATATTTGTAGTAAGCCAGCTTGCAGCTTTATTTTCACACATTTTCCTTATTTTCTATTTCCTTTAGCTTTTTAGTTTGTCTACACTGATCTCTCTGAAACAAATTTCTTCTCCTAGGGGCTCTGGGAAGAAGTATACTTCCTAGAAAAGTGTAAGTATTGCTGTATTTTCCATCCCTCCTAGTACAGAAGTTATATAATTTTTTGACCAAATAGCCTGGACCACTCTTCAAAATGAGCCATTAACTGGAAAAAAAACCCAAACAACAATTTTATCCTATGTTCAGCTTGCCCACAAGAAAGTAGGAGTCACCTCGGTTGAAAAGTTACATATATATATACTGAGAAATCTGCTTTCCTAAAGAATACATCCGGAGCATCAGAATTCTCTCCTTAAGCTCTGGATTTCATCATTCCAATCCACACCCCCTTTTGTCAAGAAACCTGTGCATTCAATCAAACACCTGAACAGCTAATTAAATCTCCTTGGACATCATCTTTATGGATAGTAACAGTGTTCAAGTCTTCCGTTTCATTAAGAATCTCAAGTTTATTATTTAGAGTCAAGACTGACATACCTGCAGAAATTTAAGGATAGGCAATAAAAACAACAATCTGAAGAATTTGCTCATTAGGGCTTCTCAAATTTTATTTAAAAATAATGAGCTGTAGATTAATCACCAAGTTATTTACAAGGTAATACTGTGGTTCTCTGATCCTTCACACCATTAAAAAAACAAGCAGGCCCATGGCTGAGGGTTGTCATAGGAGCAGTTACTGTGTTTGGGGAAGTTATCACACAGAGTTCTTGATAGAAGTAACGTTGCTGGTGGTTCTCTTTTATTTGCATAAGTAGCTGCTGAACTCACTGAATACAAGTAGATATAACTGTGACAAAGGAGGCCTCACATATTTACAGGGTAAACTGTCGCAAACCACAGATTTCATAGAATTATTTTTATTCGAGAATAAGGGTTTTATTTAGTGCTTTCATCTTCATCTTCTCCATCTGTTTTTGAACCCTTTCTCTGAGTCCGTTGTCTTGGGGTTGAAAATTTCCATCAGGATGTTTGTGTGGGTCTCTGCAAGAAGTTTAAAAGATTATTTGTATTTATAATAGCCAGGGAAGCTACTTAGCAGTGTGGGCAAAAACAAAGGAAGGGACACACATTTTCTCTCTTTTTTTAATATTGACCACAGACAGTTTTCCATTACTTACGCAGATCTGCAAAGAGTCAAGTTATGAAAAAAAAAAAAAAAAAAAGCATTCACTCTATTTGGCCAGTTAAAAAAATTAACCATCTGATAAATAAACACAAATAAGTTGAGTTTTTGTTTTGTTTTTGTCTATGAAGAGGCATATTGCAATGGCCAGAACAAAAAAATTATTTGCCTAAAGGATAAAGTGTGGAAACTGCTGCAGAGGAGCACAGTGAAACACCACCCCATCAGTAACAGTGAAGAACCTTCCAGTGACAAAAGAAAGGACTTGGACTTCACTGCTTGCTAGTAACATTTTGGTGCGTGTCCTATTAGACGTAACATATACTGAAAAACCTCAACTAAAAGAGACTGCTCAAATGATTCAGACACAGACAAATTTGAATGAAATGAGTATCTGAAATATAAATACCTAGAGGTGTTTAATATGGAAAAATATTTTCAGTTTTGAAGAAAACACCAAAAGAATAAACCTTATGATTTTAGAACTACTTCCCCAGAAAAGGTACACTGTACCCATCCACCCAACAGTGTACAACTGTGCAGGAAAAGGGTGATTATTTTGTTACATAGGCTATATCAAATCCCCATGTTCTGATAAGCAAAGTGTCGTAAGATGCAAAAAGCAGCAGGGTCAGACACACGTGTTTTTACAGTGAATTACTTTCAATCAATGCTGAGGTAATCACAATACAGCCATCAGTGTTCTGTCAGAGATCTCATACTCAGCACTGTTTTAAAGTTTAACAGCTGACAGATGCAGAAAATCTGGATGTCAGTCATTCCCTCTAAAATCAAAGAAAAAAGAGACTTCGGAATCTCTTGGTGAGAACTCTGTTTCAGGCAGTTACATGCATCCTGAGTAGATAAGCATCTAAGCATTGTCATGACCACTTTAAAGAGACTGCATCGGTTGGACGGAAACATCAATTCCACAAAGACACACAAGGTATCTGTGAAAACACCAGGTTCTACTTCAATTAGAGCAATTTCTCCTGTGTTCCTCTGAAATCAGTTATTTCACCTATACTGCCTACCACTCAAGTCCACTGCCCCCAGTGTTCCACTTACCAGCTGATATGCCTCCTTGCATCCTTCCTGTAACATCACATACCCCCAAATTTCACATACTTCATCCACTTCTGATTCCAGCCCCACAGCACTGCTGGGCAGCCTCGTACCTTTCTAAAACCACTGTGGTAATAATCAACTTCCTTACAGATCCTCTTTTTCTCAGCTTTCCTAATCCTCAAGATTTCTGTGCTGAACTACAAACTGAGTACATCAGCCTGACAGTACTGGAGGCAGCTGGCAGAATTTGTCTCTATGAGAGGTTAGCTTCATGATAAAACTGAAGTTAAAGACATGCAGGCCAGGTGTCATTTTAAAATCTGTTTTCATAACTCCAATTCTGAGATCATACTTACAGTGCAAAATTTAATACAGGAGTCTTCTGATTTGCTCAAAGAGCCAGCTCTGCAACCCACTCAGTGACAGACGCCCTACAGCATCTCAGTATAGCTTTCTCCATAATTCTGAAGGAGATGTCTTCAGAGTCCTTCCCATTCCTCTTCTCTAATTTCAAATTCTACTTACCTTTCTTCTTTCGCTGATTTTATTTTGCCTTCTTCTGAGATCATCTGCTCAATTTGTGGAAATTCAGCACTCAGCATCTCTGGAGTAAGAAGCACTTCAAATTCATTTTCATCTGTCCCACTAAAACCATTAATATGAAGAACAATCAGTACTTAAAATTTTGTAGACAACAAAACCAAAAATATATCTTGTTCCAGACACACTTTGTGCTTTTGCCTTCAATAATCTTTCAGAAAATGCTTAGACACATCCACACAAGCAATTAAGACAATAAATCACATTGAACATAAAAGAGGAGAAACTTACAGGTCAATTATATTCTCTCTGTCTCTCTCAGGCAAGTTATACAGCACTGATGGTACATCTCTTGGAAGCATATCTAAGCTGTAAGGATCCCTGTGATGGAAATGGTATTTAAGATGAGCAAAGAGTAACTGCAGTTAACGTTTACATTGTGAAGCTTCACAGAAATAACTGTAGTTATAGAGAAGATTATTATTTTTAAATTATCCTGGAACAAAAATATTACACCAGAAATGAATGCAGAATGAGCCTGAGAGATGCTGGCTACCAACATGCATTCAGGTGCCCACATGTTAAAAGGTTTTATTATTCATAGTTCTGCAGGACAAACACAGTTCGTACTTCCTGGAGCCTTCTGGTACTGAATCAAAATGCATTCAGTGCAGATGTTACCAAAAGTCCAGACTGAATCCAGGGCTAGGCATTACACTTAACCCACCCTCCAAGGAGAGTGAGTAGGGGTTATCATTCATTTTAGATTGCTGAGAAGCAAGCAAGTCAACCCATAGGCCCACTTCTACCTCTGGGACTGGTCACCAGTCATGTAGTTTCAAGCAGCAGAAATTGCAGGTGAGAGGCCCTGTCTACTTAGGGTTTTTCTTACCTAGATGTTGTACTTGTTGATATGGGAGTGTTAGGAAATGTCAAATACACCACTGGTAAGAATCGTCTCCAGTCCATTACTCCACAAATCACTTCCTGAAATTGCAAGTGCTATTAGCCTTCTAAAACATCATGCAGTGGAAAAAGAAGCTTGCAGGACAGAGCATCTAACTTCTTGGTTGAGAAGCAAATCTGGAGAGCTACATTTCTCCGTATTTAAAAGATACTACCTCCACTGCAAGGTCATGAAAATGCAATAGACGGCGAAAAGAAAGAAAGAGCAGAGAAACACTCAGAGATAATTCAAGTCTAATAATAACAAGTTATTCTGACCCATGCACTGATTATTTAGGTGCACACAATTTTTACTCACACAATAAACTACAAAGGCCATACCTTGTGATGCAGAAACTTTTTTTGTGTGATTGGAATACTGGATCCTTTGGGGCACTCCTTGGTAAAGGTATATTTTGGATGAGGACAAAGATGATACTCAATATTTGTTTCACAGTAAGTTAAAGGAGGTAAAAGTGGAAACAATCCTGGAGTGGGGTTCTAAAAACAGAAGGTTATTGTAAAAAAAATTCTGAGCACAACAAAGAACTAACTGATGAAAATTCAGGTCTTACATTAATATAGTCTTCCTAAACTCACACTTATTCTCATTATGATTTCATGGTTCAGTGTGACCCTTGATCTACTGTCTCTTCTCTGCATCACAGACCCATAATCTGCCTTGTTTATTCATGTTCTGCTGACAAAAATCCAACAACTTATTTACTCCCAAATCTAATGTTGGTTCTCTGAACAGTTCAGAATCCAAGGGATGGAACTGATCTTGCTGTAGTGGAAGTGAGCATTTTACCATCTATTTCACTGCACTAGCATCTGTTTCTGCATTTAGTTCAATGCTGGGTAACATGGGATCAGGCCTGGATCTTACACTCACATGACAAAGGGATGAGGGATACACAGAAGATTTCATCAGTAAGTCCATTGGAGTCCTGGCTGCATTCAGTGGGAACAAGTTATAAGTGTTATGCTAAGACCACCAGACCAGCACACTATGCTTTGGGCCATTTCAGCTAACACTGAAAGACAGCCACCCAACTCAGGCACAGCACCATGCTGCCATGGAAATGCTGCCTGTACCCATGTACAGCACTTCACTGAGCCATACAGCTGTCTCTGCCCTCTCACAATCACCTAGGGACCCTCTAAGGCTGTGCTGCACTGTGTGGAAAATACTTTCTGCAGTTGGTGCCAAGTAGCACAATCTATGTGAAAAGCAAGTAAGAGAAAACCCTCCCACACACCTGGCTATGATTTTTTTTAATCTCTGTGCCTAATAATTGGAAATGTGGCTATGATATGCTAGGAAAACTAATGGAAACTAAGGCAGCATGATGCAATGCTAACAAATTGCCTACCTTCACTTTTCTCAGTCTACTTCAGGATCAGGCAGAAGCACAGCGTCCTGGCTGAAGATAAGACTGAATCTGTCCTACTAACTTGGGCAAGAGTATGAAGTCATAGAAGGGCTGAGATGCTGAGATTATGGCTTCTTTTTTACTGTGCAGATGAAGAAACAAATGGAGAAGGGAGAGGCCCCAAGGTGTATCAGGGAATCCTGGGATTAGTGAGCATTTTTGGAGTCTAGGACCAGTTCACTGCCCTCACGGGCAATTTTGTATTACCAGCCCTCCCCTCTAACCTGATCCAATTCCACCTCAAAATGAAATGGTGTCATTCTCTGCAGGATGAGCTCTGTAGTTCCCACCTACCAGAGTTTGCACCATAAGGGATTACTCACACTGGCAGGTAGTTTTAAATACCACTCTGAATAAGAGAACTGACTACTAATAAACAAACACCCTTTCACCTCCCTTTCCACTTTGTAAAAGCCAACTTCTACTTACAAAAATGCGAAGAGGGTTGCTCTCTGTAGGGTAGACTAAAGCTCGGGGAGGAACCAATTTTAAAAGGCTGATATCTCTTTCTGCTACTTCTTCAGATGATGGCTTGTGATAATCCTTAGTAGAAGCAACTACTTGAACCAACTCATCCTTGAAAAAACACAGACATCAAAGGTTTTCAGAGCACGTGGAGTCTTTTGTTGTAAAATGTTGGAACAAAATTAATCAATTGTAGAAATACAGAAGCGGGAATGACTTCATCAAGGCAAGTTTGTATTAGAAATGATCTGTTACCTGGGCTCCCTGTCTCAGAGCTCGGCAAAGTTTTTGAGTTCTATAACTTGCAGCTGTACGGTGTGCACGGAATGGCTGATACTTTATGATGCTGATATGCTGAGGAACCTAAGCACAAAGGAGAAAAACATGCTGCAGGAGATGACAATAATCATTCTTTATAAACTCTCAGATGGAATGGAACTTTCCAGCTTTGTCACAGACACATCACATATCTGTGGGAAAAGATATTCAGATTGCCATTCTACTATGCAGAATACGACCAAAATTTTGAGAAGCCGTACTTAACCGGGGCAAATGGAATGAGTGCATTAAGGAACATTTCTTCTCTATGAAAGACTGTGGGATTAGCACTTTTGTGATCAAATATACTGAACTTAATGAGGTGGAGAAAAGCTCTATCAAGCAATATAATTTAACACTGGTAGGTGAAGAATAAGGACATTAATAGAAAGTTTCTATACTTGTTATAACAACTGTGGAAAAAAAAAAAATAACAAAGGAAGAAGAAACTGAGCCAAAACCTTCACTGATTTGAACCTGAGGAAGTATTCTCACTTTGATAGGGAGTGGAATTTGGATTTATGTTATTCAAAAGTCTGAGAGGGAAGGCTTTAGAAGTCAGGAGAAAAAAAAACTATTTCTGAACTCAAAGTTAGAAAAACCCACAGTATTACACATTTCAAGACTTGATGCCCATTGATGTCACTGAATCAGATAGAAAACACATCTAACTGGACTGGTGAAAGAGAAAAACAGGGAGCTGTACTGACTCACCTTCAAGCTGTAAGAGGGAAGGAAGCGTTTCATTTTCACATCTATACGTTTGACAGGAATTGGGCCAGGGGCATCAGGTTCCTGAAAGAGTACGGTATTTTAACCCCTTAATGTGGTGGACATTTTGTTTTGCACTGACAGTAGTTCATCAGCATGGCTATCTGAAAACATACTAGATAATTATGCAAACATTTTAATACTTCCTCTGCCCTTCCTAGGGCACTTCAGTTGCTTTTAAAATTTGTTTTCCTGGGCAAAAATCACAGATTTTAACTAACTTCAGCCATTAATATATTAAATATAATTTCAGAATGAAATTGAGAGAATGCAGATATTTTAACTGCTTTCAGCAGCACTCTAAATAAATCTGAAGTCCTGAACTAACTCGTTGGAACTCCACAACACCAGTTATGTTGTAAAGGATAAAAAAAAAAAAACAAACTGTACTGGGCCTAGGGCCAACGTCACCAACAAATTTTTTTAGTAGTGGCCACCATTTTGGTTACTATACCTACCAAATCACGGTGTAATTTGTGGGAACTGTTAAAGGGGAATTGAGAAGGTAACATTAGATCTTCAGATATGCTGGAAGAAATGCATTTGCATTCTTCTCTCTTCTCTATTTGGCTGAAACTCCCATTTTCTGTCAGGAATGGAAAGCAAATATTAAGATTTTGTAATACAATTCAACACACTGCTTCAGAAATAGAATCAAGACACAAAACATATTTAAATATCTTCCTAACACAGGACAGGTTTATGCATTTTAATAGAAAAAGCAAGGTAATCCTTCCTAAAGTCCATCTGTAAGGTAGTGTAAAAGTTAGTAGAAGGTAGCACAAAACCTTCAACTAATAAACAGATCTGATTTCCACATTACAGCCCACCCACTCAAGTAAGGTGCTCTATTTTCATTCAACAAGGCAGAAATAAGTCAGAACACCTCTACTACACCTTCTACTTCAAGCACCCCTGCAACTCCTGCATATGGGGAACTAAAGAGTGCCTGTTCACACAGGCAGACGGGCTGATATGGAAAGGTGTTCCAACAGTTGTTAAACAGTGCATGTATGAGGTGACATACAATAAGAAACACAAATCCTCTTCAGTCTCCACTACTACCAATTGTGGCTGCTCTATAAATATCATGAATAATGCGTATAACACGCATGTATAAAAACATGTCTTTTTACAACAGCCATTTCCACTGTGTCACACATCTGTTTTTTGCTTGAAGACCCCTCTGTAGGGACTATTTATGCATATATATCAACATGTATTTGATGCACCAGACCTACCATAGCTTAACACAAATTATCAATAACTCATTGTCAATCTACCTATCAACTGCTTCTTCTGCTCCTTACCAGATATAGAGCCTTCCTCCAAATCTCTGTCTTCCCTTGTCAGCCCACGGAACAGAAGCAGTAAATGATTTAGACGAGACTGAATCACAATCTGAAGGAATTATTTTATATTTAAGTATAATATTAAGCTTAACATCCTAAGATTTACAGTCATAGCAATATGCATACGTGACAGCTGTATACTACAAAGGTCACCCAGACCACCTGTTTCAGAATTTTTGCTACAGTTTTCTGTTCAGAAGGGATAAAATGGAGAAAAATTGCTTTTGAAAGAAATTTAACTCCACAGCAACATTACACAAAAGAAATGGACTGTACAAACTATCTGGGCCATTTACTTCTAAGAGCTTCTCCCTGTGAAAAAAGGCTTTCCTTATAAACAGACCATAACTATTTTATTAGAATTTATGCCCATTGTTTCCTGTGTTCCCACCATACACCACAGCAGAGAGGCTGGCTTCAATAACCTCCTCAAAGGAGTTGAAAGTTGCTGTCCACTCCCACCACTTTTCATCTTCAGCAGAGTAAGTCCAGTTATCTCAGTGTCTCCCCACTACCCAGACTCCGGGTACCTCGACAGACTTACACTGAAGTAAATCCATTTTACTGATATATTTTTTTATACTGAGGTCCTAAAACTGGGCATAGCATTCTATATGCATTTTGAAGTCTTCCCTTTTTGTTCAAAAGTATTTTTTACTTAAAAAAAAAAAAAACAAAAAAAAAACAAACCTAAATTCTTCCACACTTTGTTAGTTTTGATTGATTGTTTTAGTTTCATGGGTTTTTTTTTTTGTTTTTGTTTTTGTTTTAATCTTTAACCAACACCTAAGGACAATAATCACTCCAGATCCTTAATTTCTGGTGAAGCAGAGACAACTAATGAACCATCAAATCCCTAGCTAGCTAAGAAGTCTTGTTATGTGCTAGTCTGCATGCTCTTTTGTGCTGTTTCCAAGGCGCTACGCTGTCACACTGCATTCCAGGTGATCACATTACCTTGTATGCTGCTTGTTGGAATTTCCTCAACATCCTTTTTCTGTTTGCCCAAGGGTCATTACAGAGCAAGTCAAATGTGGGATGAATACTTGGATGCTGCATGGTATTTAAAAGGAGAAAAAAAAAAAAAAAAAAAAGGATCAAGGGATGGATTTCTTCCATCCTTGGCAGAATCCCTATGTTATTTCCTAATTCTGAAATTAAGTTAAGCAAAAAAATGTTCCATCAAATTACTTCATTCCAGGTCCCTGTCACCCTACTTGCATGTAAGCAGAATTTTTCACTACAAGTCCTAAAGGAAGGTAATCAAATACTGCAGATGCAAAATGGTGAGCGCAGAGGTAACGTAGCACGGTCTGCATTCACAAATAAAGGACAGCCACCTACTAAGAGTGGAGCCCAATACGTGGGCAGACAAACATTTGGGAAGAATGGACCAGGACTCCAGTGAGTACATACTTCATCCTGCACAAACGTGAAGTCAGAATAACAGTAAGGGCTCAGAATGAAGGCCAAGCAAATTCAGCATTTCTCTCCAGTAATAGCTTGGAATAAAAACTTACAGGAGGGTTAAAGATCACAGTAAAACTAGAGAAACAATTCACCAGAATAACCCCCCCAACATCTAATTACTTCTTGCTTTGGACATACTTGAGATAGAGGCAATATTTACATTTAACACCTCGAATCTCTTCAGTTTTAGATTGATGTGACAGAAAAACATAGCACCAAAAGGGACTCCATCGATGCTATAGTACAGTACTTCTCCACAAGAGAATAGCCACTCAACCAAAATTTAGATTAGGAAGGTGCTCAGAATTACACACAACCCCATGCTGTACTCGCCAAACAATTTTCAACACTTAACAGGCATAAGAGAACAGAAACAGACCAGCTACCACAGCTATGATGTTCTGTAAGAAGCAAGCAGAAATGATTCATCCATTATTCCTTCAATAGCAGACTATTTATTAAACAAAGTTCCCAATTATTCCAGGAAATGAATCCTAGCAATTACCACAGAGACAAAAACAACCCTAGTTACCAGAACTCTTGTCAATTCAACCTGCAAGATAAAGGTCACAAAACTTGTGATTTGCTTAATTTTATGTTAAAGTATGAGAATGCTACTCCTGTGAAAGCTCTCAGGAACGAGCAGTATGAACCTCAGGTTATATTTCTAGTTGTCTCTCACATTAGTATTGCTATTAGAATACCAGAATGAGAAGATGAGCTGTGCATGCAGCTCACTGCTGGCTTTATGGCAGTAAAATGGGGAAAAGGACATTGATTCAGAAATGGCCATACTAGGAGGAAAAGCACTGAGTGACAAATATTTACGGCTGTTTTTTAGCTTAGCAAGAGATAAAAGCAAAGAAACAAACCTGCTCAACAAGCCGGAAAACACGTCTGGAAGAAATCTCTACTTTGCTCCTTTGAAACTCCTCTTCTATGATAGGATCTCCTCTTTGGATCTAATTTGTCAACAGGAAAAATAATCTCATTAGTGCAAAGTATTCATTGATTTCTTTTTTTCCTCATTTACAATTAGTGGAAATTCACCATGTAACACTCTACAAACACTTCACAAAACACAGACTCCAATCCCTTTCAGTGAGTGATTATTACAACCTTGTAGTAACTTAAAGGAAGTAAAATGATGTTCTTTTTGGACCAAGAGATATCCACAGATACTACAACCAACAGATAAGTATGTAAATGTTTCTAAACAACGTGATTATACATTTAATTCAATGATATAACAAGCTAACATTCTAGATTGTGGGTTTTTTTTTTTTTTTTTTTTTTTTTAAACTTATTTCCTCCTTTGCTATTATTAAAAATAATGTTTAAAAATAATTATTCATTTAGCCTTGATCCTGTCTACAAATAATTTTACTGCCATAAACAATGCCTTGGAACTCAGTGGGAATCAGAAGCTGGCTGTATGTCTACAAGGTAAGATAGGAGGAAGAAGTCCCTGAGGGCTGTGCCATATGTGGACAAATATTTTCTGTCACTACCTATTGTTGCTGTCACCTCCACAGAAGACAAACTGCAGTCTGGGGTGAATGAAAGAAATCAAAAGGCCATGAGAGCAAAGGTATAGCAGAACATGCTGAATTATCTTCCTATGGACTGTATGAGAGTACTGACTGGGTTTAGCTCTTCAATAGTGAGTCATTCAGAAAGGTACAGCATAAACAGAAGGCTGACTGCATCCACAGCACTGAAAGGACTGCTGCAACGCTGCACTGTGATGTAGCTAGATGGAAACCTACAGGTTGAGCAAATATCTAATTACAGTTCCATTAATAACTTAGTAGCTTATCCTTCCCTCTGTCCACCTCCAAGAAAAAACTCTCTCAGTAACACTGATACAAAGAAATAATAAAGATATAAATGCATGAGGAAATTCAACTAACACGGGTTTGTATCAGTGCACTAAGAAAAACTGAATATGTGAAGAGCATAATACAATTCACTAGTGCACTGCATGTAGTCTGAAATTATGAGTTCAATTTTGAATTTATAGAAAAAACAACAAAGACTAACCTTATATTGCTCTTCTTCCCTTTGTCGATTTTCAATAACCTCCCTTTTAAATTCTGCAGATAGTGGATTTTTGCCTTTACGAACTTGCCTGTATTTGCAGTAGAAGTAAGAAAAACATTTTACTTAATGTACTGTTTGTTTCATTGAAAGTTTGAAAGGCTGACTCTCCTGTTCCTAAGGCATTTAGGAGTCTGTTGTATTCAGCTAAAGAGCAATTCTGACCACAAGTGAAACCCCAGTATGCTGACGCATGGTTATGAATTTTGCTTTCCACCTTTTGATGTGCAACTTTATTCACACCATTACACATTTTAGCCTTGACTTACTGACAACCATAACAAAAAGGCACAAAGCAGGGTGAAATGTGCGAGGTTAGATGAATAAGGTTTTCAGGAAGTTCCTGAATGCAACTGTAATACAATTAAAGGTATCATTGGGTACACTCGTGTTGCTTTTAGGCAGGAGGGATGAAAAGAAAAACAAAACAACGGTTTCTTAACTGTAAAACAGGTCTATCAGGACACAAAATGGCCGCATTACGAACCAGTGCATATTGCATACATCATTCACAGAGGCCTTAGTCAAGCAAATCTCAGTGTTTTAATTAACACTTACCACTTCAGATTATTTGCTTCCTCTTCCTTAATGTTTTGTTTGACTTTTAGCTCAAACAGTGCTTCCTTCATCTGCCTTATTTTTATTCCTTCATTGCCTTGGCAAAGGACTGCAAGAATATCAGAAAGCCACATACTAGATTGAATTTTTAATTGGGAAATAACACCCATGGTGATAACTGAATTCATTAATGCACAGGCTACTTCAGGTAAAGTGAATTTCTTACAGAAATAACAATCACATAATCTCAGCAATTCTAATGCAAAGTTTCTAAACAGAAATCTAGAAATACTGATAAAACTGAGCTTATGCTGCTTAACTATGTTACCTTCTTTTAAGTTCTTAATCTTCAATTTGCCTGGTTCCTGATTCAAAACAGTAGCTACAGCATATGGATTTGACAAGTCTGTGGGGAATTTCAGGTTCTGGTATTCAATTTCCTAAGAGATATAAATTAATAACAAGAAACAGAAGCAAGAAAGATTTTCAGCCCAGGAAAGAACTTGCACTTATTTCCTCACACCTTTACTTTTTGAATAGCCTTGGATCGTGGTAGGCTGAATTTGTCTCTTTTCCACACCAGTGATTTTCCAACAGACACTGCTTTTTTCTCTGGACGCTTTTGTTGTTTTTCAAATGGTTCTTTTCTAGGCAGCAGAAGGAAAAACATTGCTAAGTACTCTGTAAATGGTATCTAATCTTATTGCATGAATTTATATCCCTTCTAGACATACAAGGATACTGGAAATACTTTTCCAAATTACAAGTGGAATCGAACTTCCTAATCTGGCTAATTTCATAGTTCACAAAAAAAATTAGATAAAGCTCAAAAAAAACCGTATCTTGCAAGGCCTCAGCAATAAGAATAACACACATCAGGCATCATAAGCTAAAGATATTCAAGGATATAGGGTATTATATTATTCAAGGATTTAGGAATTTAACATTATTTTGCAACAGATCAAGCTCATTCAGAGGAAGTGCATTCTCAGTGAATGATGTAAGAAACCAGGTAAAAGTATTAACACTTGTTAACATTAGCTTGTAAGTGACATCAGTGCATTTTAAGTCACCACAGATACAAATGCCTAAAATGATCATAGCACAACAGCATTAAATACTATTGCATGGTATCTTTTAGAACTGGGCAAAGAGCACTCAGCCACACGTACATTTGACCCAGATGGGGTGTTGATGTTCCTGTGAACACACATACATAGGGTTCTGAGTGGAACTGTGAAATCAGTAACTGCATTTTCATTTGTGCTGTTCCATACTCAAGGGGTGAGTATTTCACAATTACTTCCTCTTTCCCATTTCCTGGAATAATTCCTATGATTAAGGAAGAAAAACAGTAAGAGTTCATCTAAACATGAGCCCACTTAAGTATGCTCAAATGAATTCTGTACTACATTTTAAAAACAATAGTAGTGTTTAAGTTGATGGCAGTAAGCCTGGAAAATGTTTCAGATCTCAAAGCGTCTTTCCATTACTACCAGTTAGCTTAAAACCACTACCCCTTGTCCTCCCTTGATATATTGCAACTATTTAAAATATACAGTCAGAAGGAATATTATTCTGAAGGAATGACCCAAACCAAAGCAGTAGCATAGTTCACCTTTGTGAACCACATATCCAGTAGAGTATAAATACTACTTCTAAAGAGGGATGACACATCCAAAAATCAGAAAACGTAAAATATTCGGAGTTCACATCAAACTTGTCATAACTACAGGCAAGATTTGTTTTTTCCTAAGGTCATAAGTTCTCCACACTGGGGAAAAAAAAAAATAGATTAGAAGCTTTATAATCTCAGAAGACTATTTGAGCAACTGCATTAATTTAAATGTTAACAATTTAGCTGTCAGCATCGACAGGAACACTGCTGTTTAGCACTTTGTCAGTTAATCACCAGTAATTTCAAATAATTTTCAACTTTAAATAGGTGCAATCTACCAGATATCGGCTGGACAGTGAACGCTCTGTGAGGCTGAATAAAATCAATGTGGAATTCAAAGTCTATTGGGCAGCTGCACTGCAACGGGATAACATACTCCTTACTGAAAAGAGAGTAACAAGGAAATAAAAGTTAAACTACAGTTTATATACATCTTGATATACCTGCTAGTTATTTCGCATCCTGACTTACTTCCTCTGACCCACACAGAATCTGATCAAATAAAACTTCATACAATTTACTTTACTTTACTTACATTCTTGTATGCTGCAATATCTAGTCAGTACAAACAATCAAAACTGGAGCCACAATAAGTACAGAACCAGAAATCAGCCTCATCCCATAACCATGCTTGCGGAAGAAGATGAAAAAAATACTAAACTCTGCACAGTTTTCAAGAGGATTGAGTATTCCAGTACATCAGAATGACTGGACCACCCCAGAAATAATCATGCTAGGGCCTCATTTTCATTAAAGCCTTTTACGTTTCACAGTGGTTGTTGGAGAGGTATTACCACATATCTTATCAAGCCGCCTTGCCTTTGTGTGTATCTGTTTTTAAGTATCAAACAGAAACACATAAACATCGTTGTAGTGCCATCCATCAACCTAAGAACCAAGTCCAATTTACCCAGGCTTATTCCTGCTTTTTGACTGAAATCCTACCCTGCTGATTAGCAAAGAACGCATGTTATACACAGTGTTCTTTTGTAAAGTGCATTTTGAAATGGCTAGGGAAATAAACAATAGCAGCAAGGGTTTTTTTTCCCTGTCTTAATATAACCTGTTCATGAAGATGTAATGGCAAATTAGGAAAGCAATTTGTTTTAAGGTGTAGTGAAGCTTTCAAATCAGTAACCAAAGTGCCTTAAAAACGTGGCAATCATTCCTTTTGTTGCCTAATGGATGTTCTGGGCCTAAAGAGAAAGCTGGGTGGTAGAATGTAGGACTTATCCTACACTTCTGGAAGTAAAAGAGATTTTTTCCATTGATATCAGTGAGTTGTAGATCACAGTTACAGGGATTCTTGTAACAACCAGAAAGATGGAACGCAGAATGGTGACACCACAATGGTGACACAGTAGGCACAACGACAAAGGGACAAGCACAATGGAATGGTGTTACAAAGAAAAAGGAGAAGTGCTCACCCATCTCTGAAGATCTAGATTCACAGGGAAAGCTCCCCAAGGGAGACATCTCCAACCAAAGACCTTTCTACAGAGGCAGTCAGCCCTTAAAAGAGGTCTAAGAGAGGTGCAGCCAGGCTCGACCCTTCCAGTCACAGAGCTGAATTGCCTTCACCTGTGCTCCCAGGGCTGACCTGATCCTTTCCCCAGGTGCTCAATCAGTGGTTCAGGCTGTGATTCAACAGTTACCATGCAATTCTGCACAGTAACAGGTATTTCAGAGAGCTTTACATTAGTACAAATCAATATAGTTTTAAACACAGCACAACTAGACACTAATCAACAGATTCTCCTTTCTCCCCTTCCCATTTCCAGTTTCTGTTAACAGTTATTACTTATTTGTTCACGAGAGCAGTCAGTGTCACATCTACCAAAGAGCCAGAGTAAGATGAAGTCTATGCTACCAGAAGATCATGTTAAATATTTTCAAAAAGAAGAAGCAAATCTAATGATTGACTGATCTTTGGATTGAGGTTAGCTATTTGCTATCTCTGAATTACAATTACCCGCTCACACTTTAATTTCCAGAACCATTCTTCTCGACAAGGAAGACCTGTTCTTTTTAGGGTTTACTAGTGCTAAAAAGACATAGCACTTGAAAGTGTACAGATTATAGACAACAGTTATATTGCTTCAGCACACCATGAATGAAGTGAATCAGCACCAACGTAGACCAGCTAAACCTCGTTTCAACTATGTGTATGTTTAGTTAGTACAGCATCCACTTTCCTGTGAATGAGTGCCTGAAACAGTTCATACACAGAACTGTTTTGCAGTCCAGACAGTAGCTGAATTCCTTAAAGCTTATAAGACCTTAAGATGTACAAACAGGGGAAAATGAGTTTTTCTGGGTTTGGTGCATGTCCCATAAGAAGTGGGACATCTGTAAGGACTTCTGTCCTTAACACACCTCTGACCAATCGATACATCAGACATATTTATAAATGATGGAAATTCCAACACATTCACAGTAGGGTAAGCATGCACAGGAACGACTAAGGTATCTTCTCCCTGCAAAAGAAAGGGGGTGAATATTTATTTAGTGTAATGAATAAATGTTATGCCAAATACAAGTTTCTGTAATAGCTGGTAGGTAAGTGAGCACAGCGTACATTCAATATCATCTCTGTGGCTGCTTAGGATCTTGATATTCTACTTGTTCACAGTATCCATCTGTTTTACCACACTTTCAGTAACTATCTAAAGCACCTCCAGTGCTTCTCTGCTAAGACATTGCACAAGTGTGGCATAAAGTCTGGGCAAAAAAAAAAAAAAAAAATACAGAATAATGACTATATTGTATCCACAGCTCTGGGATATTTACAGATGAAAAAAAAAAAAAAAAGATGCTTAAACCCAAATACTAAAATCCTGACTCACTAGGAATAAAACCCACAAAGTTCTAAGTGATTAACTGTACCTTTATTGTAATCATAAAGTTTGAATAGTCACTTCATTCCACTAGAACTTTAGGTATACTTTCTCATAATAAATCCTCACCTGACAGTGAATTCGGATGCAGTCATAGTAATAACGCCACTCATCAGGACAAAAATCAACAGTAAGCACATATGACAAGCCGGGGATGAGTCGATGCTAGAAAATGACCCAAAATAAGATAGAAGTCATGTAAAAGCTGCAAACAAACAGTGCTGCCTGCAAACAGCCATGTTAAAGCTTTCTGACACTCACTGTTTTGTTGTATTTGATCTGAAAATACTTTGTCTGGGGTGGTATAATGTGAGGGTTTATTACATTGCCAGAAATATTTATCAGCTTCTGTAAAACAAAAAAAAAATACTAAAATGATGTTACAACATAAGAGATCAACTGAGAAAGCCAACAGTATGTTTTATGAAACCACCCACAGGCACATTAATAAAGGAGGCAGACAAAGGGAAAGCAGAGAGATGAAGAGGAAATACTCAAACCGTTCACAAGAAAGAAAAAATACGTCTATGCCCTGACTTTTGTTTCTTAAATTCTATTGCTCCTAGAAGAAGGCTAGGGCTGCTTTAAACATCCATGCACCAGAGAACACAGTTACAGACTCAGCAACGGTCTGTCCAAGTACATGTTGAAAACAGTCCTTTCCATAGTTAAAGCATGAGTCCATGACTTGCAGGTCATATGCCACTCTAACACAGGCACATGGAAACAAATAAGTAAAACAGAGACCCTAAAGGAGGGTGGTGCATACAGCATGGTACTTGTCTGTTTCGTTACCACAAAACCACTGATTTTAAGTGCTGCCTTTTAGAGTACTTGTAGAGCAAATGGCTTCATGACCATAAGCCCAGCTTCTGTTATCCTTTTATAAGCCCCAAGAGGATCCCTGCCCTGACACTTACCAGCGTCTGCTGGTGATGTTTTCCAACTTCATACCCTCCATAGTGTAATACAGCAGGCTCTGCCTGTATAACATTGCTCTTCTTATGTTCTGAATAAACCTCTACAGAGAAAGACAGTAAAGCATGGAAAATAGGCAACCAACTAACACACACACACTACTGACACATTTAGCAAGTATATTTATGTTGAACTCAATGTACTACAGAGAGAAAAAGGAAACAGCTTATTTGCCTTGGTAAGCAGGCATGACTCTTTAAATTGAGGGTTAAGGTGACATCTACTACCCCAGCAGATCCATGATTCTTTCACCAGTTTATCTCATGGCATCTGTCTCTTCAACAAGCCACCACAAAACTTTCGGGTCAGCCAGAATAACTACAGCTGCTATTTTTTTTCCTGACTCCATCTCTCATGATTTGGACTCTCAGGGAGACATAGGATGGGAGCTTAGCCTACAAGTTGAGAAAAATAATCTAATATCCTCGAAGTAACTTACAGGATTGCTCCAAGGTTGGGGAACGGTCAGAGAACACAAACTTACTTGATTCTAGCAGGTGATTGGGGATAGCACGTCTCTTTTTAGGTTCCTCCACCAGGCTATCCAGGACACTGGGTATTTTCTTGAAGATTTCTGTGGAGGCTGATTCAACCAAGTCCATGTTAGGACTCAGTTGGAATCGGAATGGTACTAAAATTCATCAGCACCTAGGGTCAAATTAAAATAACATAACAATAAAACTGTCTTCCCACTGATAACATCTGTTGGCTAAAATCTCCTAAAACCATTTAGAATTTTTTTTTTATTTTCCTTCTGAAATAGATTACAGAATACAAATCCCAAGACCAGTTAAAATCCTTCCCCTCGCATGAGGAACGGATTTACTATCTAACATTCTTGATTGTAACCGGTAAGCATAAATACCAGATAGCTAATTGCCAAATATCTTCCAAGGTGGACATAAATATACAGCAAATTTCCTATCACTTCAGAGAGTTAAGTGTCAAATAATCAAACAGATTTGCATCACTATTCATTTTAAGATTATTCACATTAGGTCCACAGTGGTACAGAGACAAGGGCTTGCTCCTCAAGAAGCCAAGCACTGTGTTACTACTGGTGTTACATGGTTACTGAACACTGGAGAATCCATCCATGCTCAGCCACAAAGCATGGGTCTTGTTACCAGATACGCAAAGCTCGATCATGTCTACAAAACTCCTGAAGTCAAGTCAGTACAAGGGATCGTAGCTTCAGACAGCAATTACTTCTGAAGAAAGCTTACAGCCAGAAAGTCTATCCCACTGCAGGAGAGAGCATGGCTAAACCAGGAAAAAAGGAAGGACACCTTTGAGCTAGTAAGCTGAACTTAAAGAAACTTGATTCATCCCAGCTTCCCAAAGTACACCCCAAAAGGTCTGCTGCAGAGATACCATGTACTAAGGATGTGCAGGATGAGGTGATTCCAGAAGCCTCACTCCCATGGCAAGCTCCAGAACTTCATCTGTTCTAAGGCTTACAAGGGACACTGGCTGTAGGACATTAGAAGGTTCCTTCTAATGATACCACTATCCAAACCGGTTTGTGCAGGGATGTTCTTCTAATCTCTCCTGAGTGTTTGGGTTATTAACTCGCAGATTCATTTTTAAGTTTTAAATATTAATATGAGGGATAAGAAAATTGGCATTTGAATCTTTTGTTTAGATAGCATCAGTTGGGTTATTTGTTTAGTGATGATAATTATAAAACCAGAAGGCCAAGAAAATTATAAATCTTGTTTTAAGTAAGCACAGTTATCAGAACATAAACTTACGTAATGAAAAGAGCAAACATTGCACAATAAGAACACCAGATATTACCCATCCACAAGAAATTATCTTCCCAAATATAGCACGCAGTCATTGGTTCTCCTATGAACAGCTGCAGGGAGAGAAGGAGAATCAGAGAATCATAAAGTTTGGAAAAGATCTCTAAGATAAACAAGCCCAACTGCTGACCCATCCCCACCACACCCACTAACCATGTCCATCAGTGTCATATTTCTAAACACCACCAGGGGTGGTGACTCCACCACCTCCCTGAGAAGATACTTCTGAGTTCAACAGCAGCCATTATGATTTTTCACCTCTTGAGATGCTACATTTTATGTCTGCTCTTCATGAATGGGAAGCTGGGAGCCCAGCTCAGGATGATGCCACATTACTATCAGTGCACACCTGAACGCACTCAGTATTATACCTAACAGACACTCTTCCTGCCAGGCTCATGTAACGAGGCAACTTTCTTCTCTGAAAGAGTGGTGATGCAGTGGCACAGATGCCCAGGGAGTGGTGGAGTCACCATCCCTGGAGGCATTAAAGAAGCGTGGAGATGTGGCTCTGAGGGATGTGGTCAGTGGGCACGGTGGGCATGGGTGGGTGATCTTGGGGGTCTTTTCCAACCTTAATGTGTCTGTGAACTTATTCAGGAATAGAGGCTCGATTAGCTGCTTGAACAACTGTGCTGGTTATATAATCTACACTATAGCAGTACTTCAAGATCCAGTGCTGCCAAAGCTGAACTGTTAGTACCGAAAAACAAAGCCTAGGAGCAATATTGCTTTCGTTTTGCTTTGTCACTCTCATGCAGGCTTGAATGGCCCTAAAGGGCTCCAATATGTAATTAACACAGATCAATACAGGTGTGAGGGAAGGAGGGCAGAGGCAAAGCAATGCCCTGCACACCTGGGCCAGCACTTCTGAGTGCTGATGAGGTCCCACACTGCATTCTGTGGGATCAAGCCTGGCATTTGTCCTTCTAGATGTCTTTCATTTGTTTTTCTAGAATGCTTTAGGTCTTGCAGACAAAAGTTGAGTGGTTTTGCAGGCTCATAACGTCGTTCTGGTTTACAATCTCACATGGCATTAATCAACAAATAAGACAGAGGCTTAACAGCACATACTACCACTACCCTAGCCTCAATATTATCTCCCACTCCACGACCCTGAGCACACACTTTCCACACGCAACATAGAATCATAGAATCACAAGGTTGGAAACGACCTACAAGATCATCTAGTCCAACCGTCTCCTCATCACCATTGCCACCACTAGCACTAAACCATATCACGCAGCACGTCATCCAGACGCCTCTTGAACACTGCCAGGGACGGCGACTCCACCACCTCTCTGGGCAGCCATTCCAGTGCCTGACCACTCTCTGAGAGAAAAAGTTCTTCCTTATGTCTAATCTAAACCTCCTCTGATACAACTTGCGGCCATTGCCCCGTGTTCTGCTCATTGCCTGGGGGAAGAGGCCAAATCCCTCTTCACCACAACCTCCCTTCAGGATGTTGTACAGTGCAATGAGGTCTCCCCTGAGCTTCCTCTTCTCCAGACTGAACAATCCCAGCTCCCTCAGCCGCTCCTCATAAGACTTGTGCTCCAGACCCCTCACCAGTTTCGTTGCCCTTCTCTGGACACGCTCCAGGACCATAACATCTTTCCTGTAGTGAGGAGCCCAGAACTGAACACAGTACTCGAGGTGCAGCCTCACCAGTGCTGAGTAGAGGGGGATGCTCACCTCCCTGCTCCTGGTGGCCACACTATTTCTAATGCAGGCCAGGATGCCGTTGGCCCTCTTGGCCACCTGGGCACACTGTCGGCTCACGTTCAGCCGAGCACCAACCAATACCCCCAGGTCCTTCTCCACACTCATAGGAAACCTGCGAGATGAACCACGCACACAAGTACACCCACCCTGACGCTGCCCCACTCACCTCCGCACCGCGCAGCCCGCGCCGGTTGCCGGGCAACGGGTCTCCACGCGGGCTGCATCACTTCCGCCCGGCAGGGGGGCGTCCGCCTCCATCGGGGCGCCGCGCTGAGGGGACGGCGGCGGGTCGGGGCGGCTGGGCGGGAGGAGAGATTTCTGCAAAACCCGCCTTTGGCGCCGAAAATGGAACGGCCCGTTGCAGGGCTCAAACCACGTCGGGCTTCCAAGCAAAAGGCCGTGGGAATATAGCGGAGCAAACAGTGTGCTGACATAGTTCTCTTCCCAAGGAAACGCGGTTCGTGTGCGCGTCTCTGTTTGCACGGTCCTAACGGAGCGTAAACCTGAGTCCACATCCGCCTCCATGTCAGAGGGGCTGAGTACAACACACGGCTGGAAAAAGCTCTGCAAGGTTATCGCAGAGGCAGCACATAAACGCAAAAAGGTGGCAGAAACGAGGGTTGTTGGCCAGCAGAGCTGCGGGCTTCTTGGGATGGTTGACATAAAGAAGGATTGGGAACTGAGATTTAAACAGGTGATTCTCACCTCAGTTTCATAGCTCTGTTATGGTTATCAGATGCAAAGGTTTGCACAGGTGGTGGTTTCCCAGTTCTTATCTTGCATCCATCTCCTGTTGAGCCCTCACCTTGCACATAGTGCCAGGGTCACACAGTGCGAGGGTGTTCATTCACCCACCAGTGTCTAAATCCAACATCAGCTCCCCAAAAACCCTGGGCAACCAGTGCCTGTGTCAGCAAATATCCCCCACCCAGAAGTGGGTGAAAAAAAAAGCTCCCAGCCACAAATGTATGAGCAATGGCTTTCAGGACAGGCTGTGACAATGTGAACAGAATAATAAAATACTCTCTGAGCCAAGGGAAGAGGCAGAATGACTTTGCTCCCACTGAAGTGACACAGCACTGCCTATGTGGTTTCTGCAGACTGCTGCAACCACATTGCTTGGCTGCCTCTCAGACCCCCTTTTAAAAACTTGTTTAACCCTTCGACCAGTTTTAACCAAATTTTGTGAGCAAGCAGACTTCTTATGCAAAAGTTCCTACAAGTTTTGTGTGGACAGTGGGAAGGAATGCAGAAATAGTGGCCCTTTGCAAAGGAAATGCTGAGCATGTGGTAACTTTCTGTTGTGTTGCCCACTGGGCAGCTGTTGGGCAGGACAGCTATAGCGTGGTGGTTCTTGCCCAGTTCCTAACCTGGGGACACTAAGGGAGATGAGGGTAGCATGTAGGAGAAACAGAGAGCATTGCAATTTGGCTGCCTTAGGGAGCACATGTAGGCATGAGCTGAAATTACTGTGGTCAGAGCAGACATGGGAAGGGCACCATGCTCTTTAGGAAACCCTTATTCCTCCATTATGCTGCTTAGGGGGGTGGCTTGCTCAACACAGTGACTGGATTTTCAGTGCACAGTAACAAGCAAAGTATGTCATAGTCACAGTCAGTGTATTGGCAGGAAGATCCAGAGCACTCCCTGCAACCTGGGAGCACTTCATCACATTTAACTTGTGCCTAGGTGATGGGAGATGGCAAATCAGAAAAGGTAACAAAAGTTGTTTTGAGACATTTCCCCATAGCTGAGGTTTGCAGCTGACTGAGGCTGAGCACTGCTGCACAGAACAAAGTTTGGCTCTTCTTGAGGCCATGCTCATTACTGTGCTAGAAGGAGACATGTCAAGCCAAGGCTCAGCTCACAGCCAAGGTAAGCAGAATTTTGCAATAGTTTTGCTAAAGAAACAAAACCTGTGAAAATAAAGTGTGGCCAGTTGAGAGGGAAGGGGACTGCTCAGGTACACGTATAGGGAAGCTGAAGTCTACATCCCACCACAAAGTACCACAAGGATACAGACGCAGTGGCACCTTGCATTCCATAGCATCAGGACCAAATGCAGATAGGCTGATTCTCTGGATGATATATAAGAGGGTGGAGTGGAGCATTTAGAGTCCTCTTCAAGAAGAAGGTGTGGAAGAACCAGGTCCTCCTGCCCTTTCCCTCATGCCTAACCCCAAGCCCTAGCTCACCTCCAGCCCCCCAGTTTCCCCACAGCAACTTCTGCCACCCTTCAATCACCACTGCTGAGTGCTGCATGCTGGCTGTGGGAGGCATGTGCAGAGCTGCTGGCAGCCAGAGCAGCACAGCCAGCCTGGATCGCATTCCTCAAACCCCGTTTCCCAGCAGGGCACTTATTCCAGGGCTGGGTCCTCCCCTGGCTGCGTTCTACACTAATGACTATTTCCCCTTGATAAATTACCCTCGCCATCGTGGGGTTGACATCTTACACTGGAGCCCTGCTTGGTCCCTTATCATGGGAGCATGAGGAATGATCGTTCCCCACCGACACCCATCAATAGCAGTGAGTAAAAGCCAGGAAGGCAGGCAGACGATAGCAGGAACATGCTCCACAGAGGTGCTGTTATTCTTGGGACAGGAGGCTGCTGCAGAGGAGGAGGAGAGCTCGGAGGGTGGATGGGGGGGTCCTGTCACTGCTGATGCTGGCTGGGGTTCTGCAGCTGAAGCATTGGCTCAGGATGGTCAAAGCTGGGAAAGGAAAAAGCGAGGAGGGAAAGGGACAAAGTGAGGGGAGCTGAGAGGCAGGCAGGAGAGCAGAGACAGCCCGGTGATCTCTGGTGCATGAGGGATGCGGGAAGCGGGCTTTGGCTGAACATGTGGACCATCTCGGTGATCATCTTCGGGATTTCAGCTGTTCTGGTAGGTGCTTGGAGCTATTTATTCCTGATTGCATGGAATAATGTTGAATGAATAAATGCACCTCTATCCCATGAAGTCGCCGTGTCTTTCCTTTAAAGGTCTGTGTGTAAGCTGGTATTTATTTATTTTTATTCTTGCTTCTGCTGCTTCCCACACTAATTGACAGCATTCAGACAGCCAGATGCTGGCTGCCTCTGTTTCCCCAGCTGTATAAAGGGGAAAGTGTTACTGCTTTGGTAAACTCAGGAGGGAATCTCCTCAGGGGAAATGCCCACCATTGCTAATGCCTCCCCTTATTGGGGCTGAAGGAATATCAAATGATATTTGTCCCACACACGTTGGATTTTCCTTTTGGCTTTTCCCATTTTCTGGGAATTAATGTGCAGATTGCTGCTGTGCTCCAGTCACCCAACACCATCAGAAACACAGCTGAACGTGGAGTGTCATCTCTGAGTGCTGTTCAGGTGCTTTCCAATTCTGAAAAGCACAGAAAATTGAGTCCAAAATCTGTCCACCCAGTTGTGAGAAGTTAGGAGACAAACCCCCAGTCTGTATAAAGAATCACTGCTGCATTGGCAAAATAGCTCTTTGTCCCAGCAGGGAGCTGCCTCGCTCTCTGATAAAACCTGCCTACATGTTTTAATTGCACTGGAAATGCAGATTGCATTGCTTTCATTGTGTTTTGTACTAAAACATCAACTGTGCTGGTTTTCTTGCCATTTGGGTTTCTTATTTTTAGGTACCACCAAAAGGCTCTGTAAATGGATGTCTTTATTCAGGGTGCTGCTGAGAGCACCTCCTTCAGCTCGCTCTCTTTCCAGTCCTTCAGAATACAAATTTTGTTTATGGCATACAGCCTGGCATCCTTTGTTTTCCCTTAAGCCACTTGTGAAGCTTGGACCACTTATTTTCAAATTAAACTGTGTGGAAATTCAGTGGATGCAAATAATCTTTGTATTGAATAGCATTTAGATCCACTCCTTCACAGGTTAAGAAATGCACTTTGAACATTGAGTTAGAACAACTATTTCTGCTTGGAATGGATTTTATGTGATTAGATTTCTTTTGGCATCTTAAATTTTCTTTGATGAAATAAGAAGTGTAGCTAACACGATGACTAACATTTGTTTTACATGTGCTTATACTGCAACGAGCCACCCTCATGGAGACCAAGCCAGTTCTGTTGATCTTTTTAAATGTTCAACACTTCAACACTATGGTTTTTAACACATTTCCAAGGTAGCTTCTGGAAATAATGCAACAGAAGTCAGCTTCAGGTCTGAACAGTTGCATTTGTTCTAGTGTGTGATGAAAACATTAATTGCTTTACTATTGGTAAACAAATGTTCAGCAACAGAGAGTGATAAATAATGTTTAAATCATCTGTCAGTGCTTAGAAATGATCAAATTCAGCCTTCAGCCAACAACAGAAACAGCTAAATGCAGTTACATTTCCTTGGATGTGTTACTCCATTTGGACGTCTCTCGTTTTTTTCCAGGATCGAAGGGATTTAATGCTTTTAAATCCTGGTACCAGAGAACAGTTTATTTAACCTGAATTCTTTGCACAAACAATTCAAGAAAATTCATTTCATTATGCAAAAAAAAAGATTTATTTTAGTTTTATTTATTTCATAGCTCACAAGGAGCTATGCAATTTGTCATAATGGGAACCTGGGTGTAGCCAATATTTTCATTGTTTAAAATGATGGAAACAGCCAAAAGTGGTGCAAGTAGATTTTCCTGCTCACTGGGGACCAAGCAGGTCTGTTACAAATGGGAATCAGGCTATCATGTTGTGTGGGAGGATTTGTTATCATTGAGCATACTGCAAGGTGAAAGGACTGGGATCTTGTCCTAAAAATCACCTTACAACTATTTTCAATACATGCCATTTTAATGGCAGATAGCTGTTTTGTACATTAATTTTGGCTCAGCTGCATGTAACATAAACTGCACATTCAGTGACTACATCAGGACTGAGTTAAGACTTATGTTTTAACCCTTCCTTGTGAGAAAGGAGGATGGGGAAGGAGGTCTGTGAAAGAATGAGCTCAGGATGATTTACAATCAGTTCTCTTGCAAGAAATCTCAGTGAAGTGCTGCTGTTGGCTTCGCTCCTACAGTTCCATGATCGGTGGCAGGGGAACAGGCTTGGGTGGCCTGCAGCCAGTGGACATATTTGGGCTGGTTGTGCAAGTGAATGTCACCTAGGAAAATGAACTGTGAAGGTCTGTGGTTTAACACTGCCAGAAGTGGCTGATTAAGTACTCCAGGAAGGTCCAGCAGTGCCCTGAATGTTTCTGCAGTCCTTACGAGGATCACCTTGCTCAGGCACTTTGT